CTCACTAGTGTATAAAGTGAGGGAATGACGCTGAAGTGAGGGAATGATTCAAGATGAGTATATTATTAAATTTTTTTTTGTTCAATCGTGCCAGCCAATTTTATTTCCCAAACCTGTAAAAACTATTAAATATATAAGACTAAATTATAATAAATATTAGATATACTTAGTATGTTATCATTTTCAAACTTTAGGTAGATGTAACTTAGATAAAAACATGTATTAAAATAAAATATCATTTCCTCACTATTAGTGTCATTCCCTCACTTTTTAAATAGTGAAAATAATTAATTTAATTATTAATTAATTTGAAAAATAAATTAAAAAATTAATTTATTAAATTAATTAATTTATTTATTAAATTAATTATTATAAATTAATTATTTAAAAAATTAATTAATTTAAATATTAAGTATAATTTATAGGATATATACTTTCTTTATAATGCCATTACATATTTCTATTAGTATAAAAAGTTTCAGAACTTTTTATTCACTTTACTTGTTTGGGATTTTATGAACTAAAAAATGACAGTTTTCGTGAGAATGACCCATATATATATATAGCGGAGGCAGCAATAGCGCAGCCAGAAATTTTTTATTTTTCTGAGTTGGATTTAAAAATTGCTACTTTCAATATCCATAAATTTTCAATACACGACGATTTCAGTAGAAAAAGGTGAAACAATAGACTATTTTCAACTATAATTATTAAAAAGCTTTATGAATTAATACGACAATTACTGATAGCACTTATGAATGCGCGTTTTGAACAAATCTAGTTTCTCTTTTATCAAATTTGCGGGCCGATTTTCGTGGTTTTCCTCTCCATGTAACGCAAATACGAACTAATTCCATCAAAAAAGTCCTCTTCGAAAGCCAGTTTGTCCCGATTCTTGGTCAAGGAGTTCCCCTGTCTTCTGGGTTGGGTTAAAAATTATAAGGTTACGGAGTTAAACATTGATAATCTTAAAACTCATAATTGGGTAGCCTGTTCAACCCCGGTTATAAAATTAAGCTATGAAGAGAGAGCTTTATAAATCAAATCGCTTTACCAATTGTCCGGCAGCAGCTTTAATAATTTATTGATTTAATAGTTAAGGATGATTTCCTGGAAGTTGTTTTAGCCCCTAAAACTTCATCTTAACTGTGCCACTAGCGGGCTTAACAGATAAAAAGAGCAAACGAAACGATAAGAATTAAACAAATAGTACTGAGGATGTAGCTTTTAATGTAATGAAAATAAATTACAAATGATATTAAAGTGTAAAACCAGTTATATTAAATAAGTTTTAGGAGAAAAGAGCGAGTGAAGCAAGCTCAGATCTTGAAACTATCTGAAAGGAACTTGCGTCAGCAGATTCGGAGTTGACGAGCGATAGAGAGTGCAGCCCATTAGACTGTTATAAAAAATAATTGTATATAAAAAGTATTTTTCAACATCAGTAAAAAAGATACTATACTATTTTTAATTCTTGAATAATGGAAACAGTAAACATTAAATCAGTATTTTTTTAAAATTGCATTTAAACTTAAAAATTTCTATGCATATTTAATGCTGAATGTTTTTTTTTATATAAATAAAAGTTATAATTAGCAGAAACGTAGATAACATTCTCCGTTGCTCTTCAAAGTTTTAAAATAGTGCTGATCTTTAAATTTCGCCAGTGATTCACAGTATCTATTTCTCTTTTAAATCAGCTGAATATTGTAGAAGGTATGTTTTACTAACCCATATTTGAAAAATTCAAAAAATGTATTAAAAAATCTTTTCACGACAGTTTGATAAATAAAAGAACTAGAACACATCAGAGAAACCTCGAAGATGCCAACATAAGCGTCGAAACTGGCTCAGATTATCAACACCTAATTCGTAACAAAAATACTAATATATTTTTTTTTCAGGACTTCGATATTTGCATGAAATTTATTTTTATTTCAGTATTCTCTTTTAATGACGTCTATTAATTACGATTTATTTATGAGTCACTCTCCAGAAAGAGTGACATTTATGCCCCTTGGTTTTAATCAATTAATTTTTCTTATAAAAATGCCTTTTCGAACTTTTAAAACTTTAAAATTAAAAATGTTAAATTTATTTTATCGTAAATATTAAGACCAACAGTTTAATTTGAATGCATGAACTGTCACTAACCTTAGTTAAGATATTTAAAACAAATTTTCAATATAAGCACAAAACATGTTAAATACGTACTCTGCATTTTTATTTTTTTGCTTAAGTGGAAAGTTACTAGAAGTATATTACATGTTCATTAGCCTAGTTATATTGTCACAGTTCATCAGAAAAATGCTGTCCCTAAGTTTACTACTTACTATTAAGCCTTGCTTTAAATATTATTAAATTGATTACTAAAGAGCCAAATCTTGAATCAAATAAGAATAATGAATCATTTGTATGACTCCTAGTTTTCTTATATATAGTTGATATACTATAGACTATAGGTTAGTTATTTTGGCCTCTATATCAGCTTAAAAGAAAGAATATGTTTACAAGACGAATAAGAATTGAAAAAAAAAAATACTGAAGTAAAATGAATAATCCCAAGGAACTGAAGTGGAAAACTATACTTAATGATATAAAACTTTATTTTCTTAAAAAAATACGAAGTTTAAAAGTAGACTTGTTTCGAGTGCTATAAAATAGGGACTCAATTTTAAGACTCACCAGACGTGACTTACAAAAACAAGAGTGCTTTGAAATAGAAAACGTTGTCCTTATTCATATCTGGCAAGTTTTGAGACTGGGCGTCTATTTTTGAGCGCTCGAAACATTTCAACTTTCATAACTATTATATTTTTTTTGAAGCAAATTATGTTTAACATCATCAAGTACATAAAACGGTTATTATAATCCAAACCAAATTTAGGCAGAATGGTACTTTTCCCCATTTTGTCACCTCTATCCTCTTAAAAGCATTTTATGGTGGGGATAAAAGTGACTATTAGGCAGAGACTAACGTTAATTAATAATTTACTGGTTTTATCAAATAAAATATTCTTAAAAAAATATTTTTTGGAAATAAGTAAAATTGAAATTATTGGATAATTGATTAATTTTATTAACCAAAGCAGTTTGTCGCATCGAAACTTTTTGTATTGTTACATAAGCATTTTCTGAGGTATCTGAATTGTTTTACATGAGTTGCTGCAAAGGTATGTAACCATTCCAGTTAACCCTTCAAATAACCAACAAGTTCTACATTTATCAAAGTACAGATACGATGAAGGTTGGAACATGAATTGGGATTATCTCAGGCATTCAAAAGTTAATAAAAAAAACTACTTAAATACATTTTATTATTAGATCTGGCAAGAGATGTTATTGCTTTTCATAATCGGACAAACAAGAAATACCTATAAAAGAAGTTTCATGCAAAATTGTTGTACCACCATGCCCAGTCTTAGGCAGACATTTGGAAATAGTCTACTTTAAACTAATTAATACAGCTTGTGTTTCACAAAAACTAAAAATTTAAATGTATCATTAACAGTATTGTATGTTAATTGTTTTTTTTTTTTTACTAACAGCAAAGTGAGTTAAATTCTTTTACTCCTAGGTAACTGCAGTTCCTTAACAGTCACTACTGTCCCTTATATAAAATTTTCATTATATATAAAGCATGTGAATTTAAAACTACTAAAACAATTCTATACTTAATTTTTTAAATAAGCGTAGGAATTATGAATAAGTTAATTTCAATATTTTTTTAAGAAAATAAAATAAAAATTCAATGCTTTCAACATGCATTGTAAAATTTTATTATATATAAATCAGAAAGAATATTTTAGAGCTATAATTTTGTAGGGACTGTTTTTTACAACGATGAATTTCCTTTTGAAAGATTATTATTTTTGAAGATTTATTTTAATTTCATCCAATAAATAATAAAGTACTAAATGGTACAGAGAGAGTTGGTACTAATAACATAAAAAATTACTTACTTCACCGTCATATTTAAAGTCTGCACTAAAATATGTTTCATGAAAATCTGTAGTAAATAGAATTTTATTAAGTATTAAAAAAGTTTTATAAATCATATTTTACCCCTCTTGAATGTCACACTTTCTGTTAAAAGACAAAGCCCTGAAAAACGCTGCCTGGTCTTGTTGGGTTATGTGTTAAGTGTCACGCTTTCTTTAGAATCGCCAATACAATGGTGTGCTAAAGTCTCTGACCAGTGTATTTTTTATAACTTCCTTCAGCCTATGGCTGTTTATATAAACTTAACATACATAAAAGTTTTAAAAGAGAAATATTCTTCCTATTTTTTTATAGTTATCAAAGTAAAATTACTATATACCGGCCAGAGACTATTGCAAGCTAATATAAATCTTAATTATTTCTGAAATATTAGTTATTGAAATTTTTTTTCATAGAGTATTAAATTTTTCTACATAGCATTATAATGGGAAAACCAGTTCTTTTTTAAAATGATCCTGAGTCGAATTTGAGCTGAAAAAATTAAGAAAGGCCATTATTATCATAGGCAATTATTTTTTATTATATGGAAGGCCAAAATATGTTTTTTACAACTATGCATGTTTCTTGTAGTTTAATTGTAAAAAGATGTTTACATTTTTTTTTTAGTAGAAGCAATTCAAAGCATTGAAGAAACTAGAGGTTTTTTAAATTTTTTTTTTTTAGTAATTGTTTTAAATTCATTAATAGAGAGGGAGATAAAAGATAGCTACAACTAAAAAAATATTGATTTTGTTATAATTTTTCTCTTGAGATTTAGGATATGAAGCTCATTATAACATATTTAGCACATTTTGCTAAAATATCAGTATTTAAGACATGGGTGGAGTTCATTCTTTATACTAGCTATTGTGAAGTTTAAGTTTTATCATCAATCCATACTCATTTAGAAAATTTTTAAACTGAAATTGAAATAAAATATATAAGTAACTCTACATTTCACAAACATTCAACTTTTGTTGCACAAAGAAATATATGACAAGTGAATAAAGAAAGAAAAATTAATTATAAAATTAGCTTTATTAATTTTATTAAATAGAAAAAGTAATATGAAAATATGAACTAGAACACATAACAGAAAACACTATTGGTAAATAATAATGAATCAAAGATAAAATAATACAAATTAGTAAATATCAACCCGTTTTGCAAATTAAAAGGACAAACAAGATGATTCAGCCTTGACATAATATTATCTTTAAAACATATTCAGTCAAAAGAAAGCCCCTCTATTAAAATAATGCAAGAGTTAATTTTATACTAACTCTGCAAAATTTTATCACAGTCTTATACATAAATAAGAAAGTACAGTATGAACATAAATTGCAAAGAAAATAATTTAACAAATATTAATGATTTTAGGTTTTTTTTTATTACACATAAAAAAAAATGTTTCGATATATCTATAAATAATAAGAAATAAAAAGCTATCTGATTTTGTATAGCACCAAATTGACCAATTGAGTTTAAAATTACCAGAAATATGGTTAATACAGAATATTAACAAATAAATATTTGTAATGTTTAACCTGCTCAAATTGCACACTTAATAAGCATATCATATTTAAGAATTATTAAAATATGAAATAAAACATTTTTAAAATGAGTGAACAATACTGATGTGCAATTGAAAAAAAACAACCCAAGTGCTTTAAGAAAAACGATTTGTCAGCTATTTTTCTTGCCAATTCAAAGCTATTGATTAAATATATTTCAAATTTGTTATAGTTTATATATAGTTTTAACAATATATAGTTTTTAACAAATTAGGAGTTACAATGATTTTCTATAACCGGTTATAATCTGCAATACAAAAAATTATCATAAGTCCATTTTTCTCTTGTTCGAAAAAATAATCTGCAACAATGTGATAACTTCTTTGTATCATTTTCTTTGTTTTTGATTTATTTATTTGCAAGATATTTTTAACACTTCTTGTATTTATTTCCATTATTTTTATTATTTGTGCTTTGCATTTTTTAGTTATATTTTTAAAGTTTTATCTTCAAATTATCAAAAATAAATAAATATTATAATATTTATGATTAAAGAAATTTCATTCAATTATGCCTACAGTATTGTATATATTTACTTAAAGTTACTTGATCAATCATCAATTAAATCTTTGGATGTTTCAAATGTCTTTAAGTTGTTCCAAAATGTAATAACTTCAGTTCAGGAATCAAACTTCAAGATTCTTCAAGATGTCTAATTCCCCCCTCTCCATCTTTGGGAGGAGTGTCTCATACAAGAGGTTTTCTCTTCGTTACAGACAATTTGAAGAAATCATCTTTGAAAGAATTTGAATTCTTCAAAAATTTTAATCCCTCTTTGGAACATCATCTTCAGTATTTTATTCTAGTATGATAAAATGCAGCTAAAGAGAATAATCTCACAGAATTTATTACATTTACTGGTTATTACAAATAATTACCTATGAAATTTGGTTAGTCTAATAATTTTCAACGCATTTGGCTACAGTTTCTAATGTACATGTATAATGGGAATTTCCTGTTCAACCAATTAGACAATGCCAGATAGTTTACTTCAGATGTCGACGTCTGCGATTTATGTACGCTGCTCATATCAAGAAGACTACTTGCGCTAGACTTACTAGAATTCTTTTCCATTATTTTCACTCTTTTTTTTCTTTAAAACACATTATATACCGGTATATATGTGTATACCGGGTAGCGTCCTTTACCTTAAAAAACATTAGTGCAGAGACATAATGGGCAGTAACACTTACTCTTACAAAACATTTGTGTAGGGTAAACCAGGCAATAACTGCTTTGACTTATCCGATTATGAATAATAGCTGTTTTCTATAAACTAATATATTCATTCATCTTTTGTAACAATGTTAAAATGCATTAACTCAAGATTTCAAATTTCATCCATCATCAGTAGATTTAATGATAGATAAAAAAAAATTAAAGCTATTATTTTAAATTAAATCATAGGTAAAAATCAGCATCTTTTTTTTTTTAGCTCTACAAAGCAGATTTATTATCACAGCACACAGACTATAAAAATTACATTTCTAATTGAAATTCAATAAATTATGCCGAATTAATAGCACTTACCAAACTTCATTGGCAATTATTAATAATAACCACTTAGCATAATTGAAATACATTTGCCAAAGAACTTGATTATTAATAAACATATTCATAACATTCATATGAAAATTCACACTTTTTACATCGTAACACAAGATCGAAAATGATGCTCTGTAATCTTTATGAAGTTTCGCAACATTCTCTCAGAGTATGAAATAATTTAATTTGCGATACATTTGAAGATTATATTCTTGAGTAAAACCTCAAATTTTCAAATCAGCATGTGTTTAATTAGCGCAAGATACTAAAGAAATGAAGCGGGAAAAAAAACACAAGTACAAGGTTTACCAGGTTATTCTTTCACATCCGTCAGTTACTTGCAATACAAAAAATTATCATAAGTCCATTTTTCGCATGTTCAAAAAAATAATCTGGGAATCGATAGCTATGTTACGATGTTTTCAATGATAATTGAGTGTAATGACGTTTTTTGTCTGGAAATTAAAGATTCTGTTGGAGTTACGCTGAAACAAAAGTTCAGAAAAAATTCTTTTTTGCAATCTGTAGCCATACATACAAAGATGCCAAGTATATAAAAATCCCAATTCTGAATTTTTTGTCACTTACGTTGGTTTTCAATTGCACAGCAGAATAGGTTGCTTCACTTTTCAACTTTCTTTTCGGTGCAAAATGTAATATTTGGCCAATCTACTTAGACATAACAGATAATTTTTTGTTTCAAATCAAATATTTGTCTTATTATCAAATTTATATTATATATATTTGTCTTATATCAAATTCATAAGTTGAGTTACAATATCTTTTGTGGTAAGTATGGCCTCAAAATTTTGACTGAAAATACCAAAATTTTCCCTAATTTAGTTTAAGATGACCATACAATAAGGTTAGAAAATGTCCTTTGCGTTCAAACCTTACTTTTAATCTTTAAAATTAAAGTTAAATATTCTTCAAAAGGGTAAAGATGCCTCATATAAAAGTTTAAATGGAGTGCAAATTCAGTACTGGTGTTACTCTTTGCTCACTTGGCCAGTGAAGCCATTGTGGGTAGCATTGGCCAAGATGGCTGAAAGTATAGGTGGCTGCCATTAAGGATCCTCTAAATAGCAATTTTTTGGCAAAATTTTCAGATATTTTGATACTTCATTAGAGTTAGTCAAGAAAGTAAAGTCTGTCTTATGATACCACCTCTAATGACATAGCAGTATAATTAAGTCTTTTGTAACCAAATTCAAGCCTTATTTTGGCTGTGTGTGAACAGCGGTAAACAAGTATTCTGGTTCTCACACTATTGCCAGGAAATGAAGTCTCTCAATTCATTTTATACTTAAGATTGGTGGTATTAATAAAAACTTAAGTGATTTTCCATTGAATCACATCAGAATAATCTTTCGTTGCAAAGTTTACCTGTGAAATAGCATTTCATTAAAAGGATTGATGAAAATTCTAAAACATCTATTGTCCCGAGGTTTATTACCTATATCTTGACCAACAGGAAGTAGAACATAAGTAATTACATAAAGAATATTGCTTGGGTTGACGAAGTATTTACTTGAGTGGACTATAGCGTGGCATTTATTTCATAATTCTATCTGCCTCTGAAGATTCCAGTAGCATCATTTTATAACCGTCGTTGAACAGCCGACCCATTTTTGGGTTTACGACTACTAATGTTCAACTTCTTAAAGCAGCATCTTTGTCCCTTCAAGGCTATTTAACTTAAATTTTAAGGATTAAAAGTAAGTTTTTAATAGAAGTTTTTTCTAACTTAATTATATGACTGCTTATTCTAACTGAAATCCGTTGTCAGTGTTTTCAAAGAAAATTGTGAAAATTTGACGCCATGCTTCTCAGGGGAGAAAAAAAAATTATATCTGTAATGTTCCCATGGATTGGGCACTTTTGCCACTTATTACACTTCAGTTCAGAAAAGAGTTGAAAAACAAGGCACCCCAGTTATCAATACCTTTAAAATGAATAAATTTCAACAGGCTATCTCCCAATAGGAGTTCTAAAGTTGGTAAATAAACTATAGATTGGAAGGACATGATTAAGCATTTTACTTTTTCATAAGCGAAAGGAGATTTCACAATACAAAAATCCATTTAAAAGATGAAACTTGAAATAAAAACTTCACACTAAAATCCATTTAAAAGATGAAACTTGAAACAAGATTACACAGTCAACAAGATTTAACACTTCTAAAAATTTAGCATTAATAAACTGATATCAAAATCAGACAAATTTTTTCTTTATAGCTTAATACGAGAACATGTTCAATATTATTTGGAAGCATCGAAATTTCTTTTATAGACATTATTTATTAACAGGCTTTACATAAATAAACTTGGCTAACATTAGCCAAATTATGAAACAGAAGCAGTCGCAATAATAAATTAGGTTGAAAAACATTCATATTTGCAGATTTTTAAGCAAGTATTTTAAATTTATCACACACTAGGTAAAATAAAAATATAAATGCTTTCAAAGCTTAGACACACTACTAAAAAATATCCATAAGAATACAACAGCCTATTTGAAGTCATTATACTCTTTTCTTCACACAAAAAGAGATAACTATCAAGTCTGCAAGATTAATAAACAGGTTTCATATTTATCTTTTGAAATTATAAAAATTTGACGACTAAATAAAAAAAAAAGCATAACTAAATTCAAATTTGTATTTTGAAAAAACCTGAAAAGCAAACAAGACAGTTTTACCAAGATAGTGAGCAAAATCAATATTGCTTTATTTAACAATGAGCGTCAATTAATTTATTAACCAATCTTGCCCAGATTATTGCTAAAAATACACATTACAGGAATCTACCCAAAATGGGAAAATAATAGAAGAAAAATTCTTAAAACACTAAGCATATAGCAATCAGTAATAGTTGTACACAAGTCATGTTACTCTTACATTAAAAAAATTAAAACTACATGAAAAAGCATAAGCAATATAACATGAAACAAACACAAGATCCTTTAGGCACCAAAATGAAGCCTTCAGTATTTTGATATTTTTTTAGTGTAAAAACAGAAAATGAAAAATAAAACACAGAGATGCAGAAAAACCAAAATCAAGTTACAATATGCTAGTGTTATTGCATCCCTGTCTTTCTCTAGTTCATTCCATGTGTTGATACTTACAAAGGTGCTTCATTTATAGTTGATGCAACATTATTTGTATTTTTCATGCTGTTTCAACTTTCATGCAGCATAAAGTTAATTAGTCTTCATTTGGATACTGTTACATTATTGTTAATATTACTTTTATTGAGTCCCCATTTGCATCACACTTTTTACATTTTCAAGAATAAAAAAAAAATAGTGTTTCTGCATTATTAAAGTGTTATCATTACTTAAATAATAAAATACCATTAAACATCAATATATAGAAAAAACATAAAATCCATAGTTAAGAAATAATTCAAAGAGTGTACAAAATGAGTAGTTAATACACAAACATATTTTTCATAGAAAATATAGAAGATTCTAACCTTCATATCAAAGGAACCTTCTTTAAATGGTCTCTCTAATTGTTGAGTGGAAATACACAGAGTAAAAATGTACAATAGGTTTACAAAGCACATGAAATGTTTCTATAAAAATGAAAGGTAAAAAGCTGTTTGAAAAATCAATGCTCTAGTTTTAAAAGAGGTTCTAAAGCTAAAAATGGTATAGGTAGTTATATTTATAACTGGTATTATTAATAAATTACTTTGAGTAAAATATTTCAAATAAAGTGGTAACTAAAATACAGTTATACCTTGTCAATAAGATTTTTAAATGACAATTAACAAAAACATAAGGAATATTATTTTAGCTTTCAATCCAATTCATAGAAGACAAATGTTATTTACTATACTTATAGTCCCTTGTGACTCAGTCATGCTTCAAAGAGGTAACCAAATACACTATAACATCTTTTAAGTAAGAAAAATCACAGATAAACTAGTAATTTAATTCAAAAAGAAGTAAAGTATATAGGAAACAATACTTTTAGTTAAAATTACATACTTATTAAAAAAATATATATAATGAAGAAAATACTAAACCAGTGTATAAAATAAAGAACTAAAAAAGGTTCACTTTACAAAGAAAATCAACTATAAATAATTTCAGAATGTACAAATTGCACTAAAAGTAATTTTCAATAAAAGTTACTCAGTAAAAATTTTTTAGTCTTTTATATTTAACGTTAAAAAAAAGTAATTGATTTAGATATAAATCCATAAAAAAAATAAGCTAAAATTTATAAAGGCGATCAAATTTTGGTACTAAGATTTCAGAGAGGGGTTTATAAGTTTCAGCTTCCAAAGAGCATGAGTGAAATTATAATTATCAGTAAATAACCATGATTACACACAAATATTTTTTATTTGATAACTCAGAATTCTTGAAAATATAAAATTTATTACCAAAGGCACAAAATTTCTAATACATATTATAGTAAATAAGTCCCAACATAAATGGCCATGGTAATGTCATTTTAAATGTAGAGATTTACTTAATATTTAATTTAACTGGTGTAAGAGTTGCACTTGAATTATCAAACACAGTCATGCTTAGCATCTGTGTTTAGCATCCAAGATAGCATCTTTCAAATAGGGGTGAACAAAATAATTAAATTGACTTATTTTTCTAAAGCAATATATATATAACTCAATGCAATGATTAAATGAGTTGTACAGTTAAGTATTTCAAAATTATTTCTCTGGAATTAAATTAATTTAGATGTATGCAAAAAAATAATATATATATATATATATATAAAGATATCATACATCCTATTATTTACTGTGCATGGATTAGTACTACAATCTGAAATTTGCTGACCTAATTATTTGCATAGATTCTAGGGAAAAGTAAGATTATAAGCCTTTTTATTAACTTAATAAATATTTACCTGTTTTAATAATTTACATTAAGAATACATAAATTACACATTTTTAATGTACATTCATACTTTTAATCACAATAACGTTTTATTTACAAAAATTAGAATTTATATAATGAAGAAATAAAAACAAGCTCTGAAAGATGAAGTAAAAGCAGTAATTAAAACAGCTTTTAAAACTTTGATAAAGAAAATTTTAGATGAAGGGTAGTTGATTATTTTTTTAAATTAAGCTTGTAATTCTCTTTTCTTGCAACTTATTAAAAACAAGTAAGTAACAAATATACAAAGTACTCAAACTGGCTTATAAGAGCAATAGTAAAGGTATGATACACATTTTGCTTCATATCCAAGTTATCCCTAAACTGTAATGGTGTTTAGTTACAGTCAATCCTTAGTTATAGCTATGTTTTGCCAACTTTTGCAATGAGATCATCACATATGCTTCCCAGTTCAATATTTTCTTTATTCTGAAAATGAATATCAAATTTTAATTAAAACAAAATATCATTAATAACAATTTTGGAACAACTAATTTTAAATTTAGGAATTAATGAAAAGATAATTTAAGTCAGATTTGGGAGTTTTTAATATTACTGTTAATTAAAAAGAATATTGGATGGACTCTCCAAATATAAAGAATCATTGAATTATTGTACCAAATCATTTTTAGGTTCCTTAGTTTTGTTGAAATTACATGATAACATAGCTGCAACTTAACGGCTTTTGCTAAAATGTTTCAAAATGGTAGCGAAGAAACAGTGTAAATGCATTAAAGTTATTAATTTTTTTTAAACCCTGTGAGGCTTTTACACATACAAAGCATAATCTTCAGGGTTCTTATATACGTTTTAAATTCTTTTATGTTGCAATGGTTAAAATAATTTTTAAAACTCAAAGTAATATATTAAAACATTAAATTGAGAAAGAAAATATTGTTTGTAAGTTGTTTAGTTGACACTTTTTAAAAAAAATTTACATTAGCATGTAAAATAAACCTGGCTAACTGGACACCTCACAGCATTTATTAATGCATCTTTATTCAAGGGCAAATGTATCATTTACAGGGGGAAGAAAATGAAATATATTTAACTTTTTTATCAGTTTATATCAAAATAAATATTGTAAAATTTATTCGTAATTAAGCAAAATGGACTAAAAAATGAGACACTAAATCACTTGAATATGATGTGAAAATGTAACCCAGCTTATAGGTTGTAAGATTGAACAACAGCAACAATCTTACAAGAAACTTTTAAGATTGTTGCTGCTTTAGATATCAAAATACCGAAGTTGATCCAAATTAAACTAGCTACAGACATTAATACTTAGTATTAGACAAGAGAAATAAGCTCTAAAAAGGACTATTCAATTATGTAAATATCAGTTTTAAAAGCAACTCATAAATTCAATGTTCACCCAAGAATGATTCTAGCTACTCAAGTAGGTTCAAAAAGTATCTGCTACTTCCAACTAGATCCATAATTGCTACTTAAAACTTAATACCTATAAGTGGGAAAAGAAGTTATTACTGGATTCATTTGCAATTGATAAAAAAGGTTATTGGTGGTGTCATCTAGATGCTAAATTTTTGAGATAATTCTAAATTTTTTTTTTACAAGTTCAAGGAGTTTTGCGAAGGGTAATTTCATTGCGTCTGACATAAAAAAAATGAAAACATAAATTTCATGGAACAATAACATTTATAAACTATAAATAAAATTTAAAATACTTAGGACATCATATTGTAGCAAAAAATAATTTATAAAATCTGATAATAAGTTCAAATATATTGGTTTAGATTGTTGGTGATTGACGTAAATCAAACAAAAGTTAAAAAAGGTCACTTGGTAAAGTATCCTCTAAATTCTGTGAGTTGGTTCATGATTCAATTTTGAACTCCATTAAATAAAGGTCTAACATAATACATAATTAATTTAAAATTATTTTATTTTGGTGTTAGAAGGTAAACGTTTTGATGTTGAACATAAATTGTTCAATTTAGCAAAACAAATGTAAGTCAATGAAAATAATTATAAACTTTGAAATGTATTGCAATGTTTATTTCATAACTTTTTTTTACTCTCTTTTCAACTAAATGCTTCTTGAAGTTTAAACTGCTCTCTCTTTCTTGTTGATTTGATGATGTGGATGAATATGTTTAACTAATTTTCGATCTTGTAAAATATTTTTTTTTTACAAGAAATTTATATTCTAGCAGAGGTTTTCATCTTCAAAGTCTGTCATTCTAAATCCACTTTTTGAGCAAAACATACTATACAAGATAAATTTCGCTTTATCCTACTGGTTTCAGACATTGGAAAGACTCTTTTGAAATAGTTTGATAGTATACGATACAAATGATCCAAAGCTTTGAACTTCTTGGGAATTTTTCACTTTACTTCTGATACCACCAGTTTTCTTCTCTTAAATTGCTAAATATCTCAAAAGGTCATTTTTTTTCAAATCTAGTTGTGTTTAATATTTTTTGCTTCAAATAAATAAAATAATGTCATATGTAACTAGTGTCATATGTAAAAAAATTAATACATTTACAAACATTAAAAGATCGTACCAATAAGCTATTGAGTCTTGCTCTAAATAGAACATTTTATTTTTCAAGTTCTACCTTTATTTGCTCAGTAGAACTAATTGTTCATTTTATGGACCGATGTAAAATATTTTAAGTGCCTTATGAAAATTCTTTTAAAAATCAAAATGTGCTGTAATTCTACATATTTTTCCAACATTTTAATTCAACTTTTAAATAGTGTACTTTAATAATTATTTCACTTCACAATATTAACATGTATTTACAAAAACATCTGGATTTATTTGAGTCATTTAATATGACTAAAAATTTCATATGATGCTGCCCTTCCTTCAACAGCCTGTAACCAGTTGGGAAATAAATTTATTAAGTTAAGATGAAATATTTCTAAATTTCTAACTTCCTTTTATAATGACATCTTGTTTCTTAAAAAAATATTTATTTTTTATTTTTTATCATCTGGTTGACTTTACTGTGAAAATGCCCTAAACTTAAATTAATTGATACTAAATTCACTCCTTAATTTCATTTGAAGTACTAAATACTTTAAAATGTTATGTATAAAATATCAGATACATTGATAAAAATCTATCTCTAGTATTTACTATTTTAATACTTTTTATGCAGTGATAACACTGAGAAAGAAGGTAAGAATTCTTTTATCAATATATAATAAAAAATAAGTAATAAGTTAATATAAATAATAAGTATAAGTTAATAAAATAAGAAATAAGTTAATATTTATTTATGTACATAGTCTATAAATAAAAATATCTCAGTTTGTCATTAATTTTTTCCAGTTCATTTTAATTTCAAATTCAAATTGTCTAACAAAAACTGGAGTCTCAGTCTAAGTGCTTTTAGCAACTTTGACTCCTTTTACTCAAAAACATGTTTAATTCTAATTCCATGCCTATAGACTCCACATTATAAAGCAAATCCCAAAAATATCAGTACACAAGGTAAAAAATTAGTAAACCAAATATTATATTCATTTCAACACTTTAAAATTTATTTCCCTATTAATGTCTTCTACAAAACAAACTAAAACCTTTAATATTGCTCCCTATATGCTTAACTCTCAAAGGAGTTAAAGTTAGTTTTTAATACATAGCCTGAATAGCATAAAACCATTTTTCTGCTTAATTTATGAAGGACTAAGAGTAGTATTTAATAACTTTATTAGACAAATTTAAGTTATTTAACTGGTCAAATTACAAACATTTTGTCTCCTTTGTAGCAAGGAATACATTTAATTTAAAAAATCAACTTAGGCAAAAAGTCAAATTACAAAGGTGGTCAGCTTGACAGGTTTCACAGTAAAACTATGCAATTCAATTAACCTTTGATTATACATTCAGCTTTAGCAATAAATTAAATTTTTTTAACCATGTTTCTTGCCAGCATAATTGCAACTGCTTATTGTTTATTTGCATTCATAAATCATATAGTTATCATATAGCAGAGTTTTAGAAGTACACATAAATATGTATACAGAAGTACGCATAAATATGTATACGTATATTCCTATTCAACAATGTGGGAATTTAATTTCAGTCCTTAATACTGATAAAAATTATCTGCTTCAGGAATACAAAAAATAAAAATATATAAATAAAAAATAAATAAAATGTACTTACCTTCTGTTCCAAGTCTCTTTCTAAACTAGATACTTTCATTTCTGCTTTTTTAAGTTGTGCTCTCAAAACGGTTACTTCAGCATCACCAGATTTTCGAGCATTCTCAATTTCAGCATTAGCACTGAAAATATATAATGCAATTAGCACTTACATTTTAACTTTGTAATAAGAAAGAGGACATGAAAAAATTAAAGGATACCTGTCTAGTTTGTCTTGGATACGAGATCTAAGCATCTCATACATCTGCTCTTGCTGTTTTAATTTTAACTGCACCTCAGCAACCTGATGCTTCATCCTATCTTCATTCTTATATTAAGAAAAAACAAAAAAATAAGCAAAAATTATTGACTGATAAAAATTGAAAAAGGTAAAATATTTTGAGAGTATTTATTTACAAAACAAATATTCTAGGAATAAAATCACCATAAAAATAATTGAAAATGTAAATCAAATTCAATAAAGATCATAAATGCTTTGTAATTCTCTCACTACTTCCATCTTTTTTTATTCTATTGATTTAAAAGCGAAATGGGTAAATTATGAAAATAAAAAAATTAGAAAATGATTGATTTAAAAATTAAAATAACCATACAAGTTACAATTTTCAGAATGCAAGAAGTTCACAAATCACAACTAATTGATCATAAATATAGGTAGATATACATAATTATGTAATTAAAATAGTTCAAGATATTATCTTACATTACTCTTTAGTAAAAAAAATTTTCTGTATCACCAATATTTGTTGCCACATTAAAAAATACTGACCAAAAAGTAATTTTTGGAGAAATCACATTTTAACATAGACTTTTCCATTATTATGAATTTTATAGTTCTGTGTATATACAGTAAGGCTAGATTTATTGCAATTATTTTTAAAATCATGCCCAGAAATCTGGATTTCAATCTACAGATGTAAAGCTATATTTACAATGGGTTGAATCAAAAATATCTGGCTTAATCACATTTGAATTTGACATATGCAGTAAACATTGGTCTTACTTGTTTATATCCTTCCAAAACTGCTTTACAGTTTTCATACCTTCGATGTAAATCGGCAAATGCAGATTCTACATTTTGTAAATCTTCTAGTGCCTAAACAAATTTTCAGAGATTAAGTTATTTGAGCATAAGAAAAAGAACTACAAAGGTTTTTTTTCGAGCAAATTTCAGTAATCTAAGAAAATAATCATAATAAAAACTGTTGGTGAAACTCTTTCACAGAAGCTTATTAGTAACTTATAGATTCTTATTCTATAACTTCCACACTTTCAATCTTATGAGAGAATTTCTCTAAGAACACTATAACTATTTTAATGTAAAATCAGTAATTCAAAAATAGTTATCTAGAGCAGAAAACTCCCTGTAGAATGGAAAATATGCTTGTGGGAGAACTGAAAAAACATCTACAACAATAAGTAGCTTTTGTATAGAACATTATTCATTCTTCCTAAATTAAAAACTATAGGAAAATTGAAATCTATAAAAAAAATTACGATTGTTATTGAAATTATGTTTACGAAAATTATGTTGCAAAAATTATGGAGGAAATATTGTAGTTGAAACTTTAGCAAAATACTTGAATATAAATTATTATTGAAGAAGTTTACATTTATTTAAGGTTGGTGTATAATCCAATCGTTCATGTTTCCTTTTCACAATAAAGATAAAATATTGTGATATTATATGATGAAACAAGAGAATCAGATTATTTTATTAGAACTTTTATTTCTTGTAAAACTGTAACGTAAATCTTGATATGTTGAACAAAATAAAATTACATATTAAAAAAAAAAAATTTAAATAATGGAAGAGATGTGCTACTGAAGGATAAATGGACCCTGAGAGAACACATTTTTTAATTCAAAAATATAAATGTTAAGTGTTAAATTTTAGACAATAAAATTGTAAGGAATGCATGATTTTGTTATTAATTATTGACAAAGCTCGTTTTCTTAGTCTTATGCATTCAAATGTGTTGGCTGTAAGGAAGTTATGAGAAATAATAACATTTTAATAAAATAAGTATAGTAGCAACCATATAATTATTTCCAAATTCTTGTGAATTGGATTCAGGAAAACATTAAAAATTTCTGCTTTTTTTTTTTTTACAGAATATTAATGATTACTCCGTTAATATTAATGATATATTTCATCGAGAAAAAAATAAAATTTGTAAAAAATGAATTTAGTTTTTTAATGATAGAAAATGTGTCATTCTTATATTTGCATAACAAAATTTTGTTTAGTTTCTTCAACCTGATTCTCATAACATTTGTATTAAAAATTTATTTAAACTACAAAAAGGTAAAAAATTCAAACCTGATCTCTCTCTTTAAGAATTTTTTGATTATTGCTTGTTGTTTCAACACGCTCTTGTTCTTTTGCCGTAAGCCATAGTGTAAAAATATTTAGGAGTTCCTCTAATATGCTTCTACAAAATTTAAACAATAAATTATAAGTTAGGATTAAATGTTTTTAAAAAATTAATAATACAATACGATTAAAAAACATGCATTTAATAAATAAATAATTACATAATTTGTGAAAAATTTATGCATTACTACCTTCAAGTTGTATAGAAAATAGAATTGAAAAGTTTGGATTTAAAGTTTATATTTTCCACTCTATAATTTCCGATAGTTTCTTCATAGCATTCAGTATATTACTGAGAAAACATTATAAGGAATTAGGTTTCTGTGATTGATAAAACTATAATAGTAGCATTGCCCATTCTACTATTTTTAATACTGTAAACATCAAATTAGGCAGTTTTGTACAGAACATATCCGTAGATTTCATTGTAGATAGAAGATATCGAAAATTTTAAAGGATAAGTATAAGCTATACATTTTAATTGTTAAAAAAATGTATACATTAAAATATTTAATGCTGGCAAATTAAAAACTTTTTTGTCATAAGTCTCCACAAACAAAACAATAAAAGTCAAAGGTTCTAACAAATGTTTCATACCAGTTTTTGAATCAAATTGACAATAAATTACCAAATATTAGGGCTTGTTTATATTGTAACCCTTTTTAAAGGTTTGCAAATTATATTATGTAGGTTAAAACTTATTTTGAACTTTGTTCTTGATCCCTTATTTCTAACATGATTAAATTTCTTTCTATTTTTACAAATTACTTATTTAGGTAGTTCATAGATATGATAAAAATTTTATTATTCAATTTTAATAGTTAACTCACACCTATATTTCTATAACTTTCGTCCAAAAAAATTCTGAACTTGAAATTCTAAAGTTTGAAATGCAACATACTTATATAAAAAAAGTTACCCTATAGACCAAAAAAATTAAAGATTTGACTATTATATCAAGTAAAAATGTTACTTAAATGGTAGCACAAAAACAGAATGTCCTAAAATAAATTTAGAAAACAATTCAAATGTTTAATTAATGGCAATGGGCCTGGTTAGCAGGGTGCGGGACTTATGTTTGTGAGAAAGGGAGTTTGAATCCAGTCTGCTGAAGACTCCCCGTGCAGTAAATGGTGACTGGTGCACGTTAAACCAGTCGGGTCACAAAGTCTTCCACATTCCCATAACAAATCAATACCTCTGGGGGTACTGAATTGGAGATATTGTTCTCTAGTTCGGGTCTAAACTATGACCTGTGAAGGAATGAATGGGTCCGTCCTATAAACAGGTGTGATGTATGGGTGCGCCATAAGTCAAATTATTGGCCATAGATGATGCCACTGGAAAACAAGAACAATCGTGACCCACTTACCTTAATGGCCTACAAAAACAACAACAAATTAAGGTAATAAAAGGAAATATAACAACACATACCTAGATGCTCTATAACCTTTGCTAAGTGCTATTACTTGGTTTTTGAGAACCTGTTTATCTCTTTCAAGAACTTTTATCTGATCAATTTTCTCTTTATCTCTTTTCAGCTGTTTTTCATGAAACAGAAGCTCTTGCATTTTTAGTGCTTGAGTGAATTCTTCTTCTGTGAAAAGTTTCTGTTCCTAAAATTTCATTGATCCAAACTTAAAAATTATTTGTAGATGACACACTTACAAACAACTAATGATTTTACATTTAAAATTCTAGAATTTAAAACAGTATCATTCAGGAAATTTTAACTAATATGATTATTGCTATTTAGCACTAGCATATTGACTTGGGCTCGTCAATTTACATATAAGAAGGGGAAAAAAAAACACGTGTTTTGAATTTGCAACTACATATGACTAGGTGAGGGTGCTTAGAACTAGCAAAAAAACAGAAGTCTTTTAAAGATAATGAACTTCCTAAACAAATCATCATGTTTTTCTGACACATGAAGGATTATTTTGAAGTATTAAAAACTGCATGTGAAGTAATGCAAGAAATGACACATGAAGTCATAAGCAAATCTCCCCCATAAAAGTACTCAATACTGCATCTACCAAGCAATGTATGTAAAAAAAAGAACAATGCACAAGAACAAGAAAAGCAGCTTGACAACTATTTTTATTCCCTCTCTAATGCTATGGATGCTAAAATGGAATTTTTTTAAAAAAATGATTAAAAAATTCAATTTTTGAAATTTTTTTTTACAATACATAGCTTATACAAAAAAAGCCGAATACATAAAAATCTCAATTTATTTCACTTATGTTGATTTTTCTTTTACACGGCAGAGATAGGGTCATCTAATGCTAGAGCATTATGAATCGATTGTTGCTCACAAAAATCATGATTTCTGACAAAATTTAAGTGAATAAAATCCAGCAAAACAGAAAATATATAACATATGCTCAGTTTAATTTATAATGAATTTTTTTTCAAAAATTCACAGCCTAAAAAACTGTTAAAGACATGTCACTAAAGAGATAGCTATTGTGCAAAGCAGACTTATTAAAATAATAAATGTAATAATGCTATTGAAAAGGAAAAAAGGAATGCAACTAAGCTTGATTAATCAATATTCTAGCGTAGTGAAAGAGGTAGGCCTAACTAAAAAGGGTAATCTCAATATTTAATTAAACACCCTTTCATCTACTTGCAGTTACTTTTCAACTAAGATATCCTACCAATGTTACAAATATTTTTAAGTATAATAATTAAAAATAGAGGTTTTCACAATTATTTCAGAAGCAAATTTACCAGAAATTTGCATCACAAAAGAAAATAAAAGAATTGGTTTAGTTAAGGTAATAAAATTCTTAGAACTTGAACAACCAATAGACATTTTAAATATTCACACTGAAACACATGATTAACAGGAACATATACTTACTTGACCACAATGAGAGTTCTGTTGGTGACTAGAGCTTGTTTTATCCATCTAAATGAAAGTAAAAATTTGTATTAAAACTCATTTGTTATATTTGATAACATTTGATTACATTAAAAACTATGTGCAAATCAATAGCTATGTGCAATACTGCAACAAAAAAAAACTGATATAATCATTGTGATAAAAATGGAATATTAAAATTCGCAATTTGAATTTCTCTCATTGCCAGAAATATATCAGAGTATTTAAAAACCATGTGAAAATCAATAACTGCCGAAAATATAATCAAAACACTACATGGATTTAGGATACTATTAGAATAAATTGAGCATGTCAAAAAGTGATTTAAATGCGTGATTCAAACTTTATTTGAAGAAATATTAACTGAGAAATGACCGGAATTTTAAAAACCCCAAGAAATTCGGTAGTAATAGCAATAAAACGTTTTAAAAAATGATGAAATCGTCACATTAAAGTAAATAATCAAATAAGAGATTTGAATTTTGTCTGGAATAAAATTTTATGTAAAAATATCAGGGTTTGTTCATGCCCAGCTTCATGTTTTCATATTTTATTCAAACTTCTGCCACAAGTTTCTTACACATTTTTCCCCTGCCAGGGAGTGATAGAGAAAATTTCTCCAATGTGTGCAGTGTCAGCAAAATGTGTGATTTAAATCGTGAATATCTTCACTTTAAGTCCTGCAGCATTGGGAAAAGATATACTGCACAATAACACAGGAATCAATGATTTCAAAATAATCCGGTAGTACAAAATTTTTAACAGTTTTTTTCTTCTGAATGGTTTATCTTGCTTTTAAGATCCTTTTTATATACCACATAAGGACTTGGTTGACAAATGTCAGCAGTCTGCAATGGGGCAAAGGAATGCTCGTGATTTTCCAAGCATTCTGGGCAATGCCGAGAGTGATTGAATTTAAAATCTATAATAGGAGTAGATATTGTTGGCAGACAGGAATTTGTTGTAGTAAAGACCAAATTTGGTACTACCAAAGAAAATCTTTAAAACTTTAGATTTAAAATCATTACTTAGAAATCTTGTGTGGTATGCTGCAAGACTTCAGTGAAGATAATATTAAATCATTAATCTATTCCAGCACCAGGCACATCAGAGAAATACCATTTCCCCTGTGCCAGTCTTTAGAAAGGTGTGTTAAACTTGTTGCAGCAGCTAGAATAAAGTAGGTGAACATGAAGCTAGAAATGGATATGTCCGAGCAACACAAAGATTAGCCTCAGATTTGTTCAGCCTCTTTTCTCCAAAAAATCAGTTTTAAAAATGTAGTAGGCATAAAAAAAACCTTAATTTAGTAAGCCGAAGAATACAAATCTATTAAAAATCTTTGTAACTAGCAGTAAATAAAATGCAAAATCCACTTCAAAACAGTGGATGGTTTGTTTGGTAGTGTCGAGGTGGAATTTGACATGTAACTCCATGATTGTTCATATTGAGCAAAGAGATATACTTTGAAAATTAGGAAATTGCTGAACTTATATTTTCCAAATCGTTTTGCAAATGTAAGAAATTAAATTGATGATCAAAATTTAATTTATTCAGAATTTCCAAATCATTAAACAAGCATAAAAAACTAAAGCCTATTTATTTCATAAGTCTTAGTTAAACTAAAATTTTTTAAAAAAGATGAGATTTTTTCAAAGTTTTCAATAAATTTAAATATGATGTGCGAACCAAAGACAATAATCAATTTTAAAAATTATTTTGCCAATGCAACTTTTCTCTACTAAAACGTTGCAAAACTCAAAATTTCATTTTTCTTTTACCAACTCTATTTCACACAGCTTTCATATCTAGTTTAAATGGATTACAATAGAGCATGTTTTGATGTAAACAAATAATGCTAAGTTGGCAGTATTTCGACTGTTTGGCGATAAATTTTTGTCTAAAAACGTGGGCATAACGGAAAGATAGTGAAACTAAGAAAATTGAAATTGTTTTTCTATGAAATTCCCTGAATATTCCAAGTTTTTATCCAAATTTCCCTGACCTTTCCTAGGTTTTTTCCAGAATAAAAAAAATTCCGATAATGTGGGTGACAACCCAGAAAAAAATGTATTGAAGAATTCTGAAAAAAAAAAAAGACAAATTTTTTTTTTTAGCTTTATAACTCTTTATTTTCAATCATTCTCAAATGAAAATAGAAAAACCACAAGCATTTCTATCCTCTCTGATGCGTGAGTAGTGTACCTTTTGAATATAATTCTGGAGGGAAAAAAATCTTTTGAAAATTTCTGCAGAAAAGAAAACCAAATTTTTTTACTTCCCAAAGGAAACAATATTTCTGCAAGAACTCTGCAATGCTCTGCGATAATGTTGATGCAATTATGCCACAGGGGCTGTCAGTTGCTTGCAAATTTATTTTAAAGCTACAAACTTAGATTTGTGTCAGTGTGACTAGCATTTTACTTTATTTAAATTTTATTGAGTTTAATTTGTCTATTTCTTTCAGGCAGGGTTGCCACTCAAATCTGGAAAAAAAAATTTCCTGTGTTTTCCCTGTACATATTATGCACAATATATTAAGAGGAAACAATTAATGGGCTCTTGTGTGAGCTATTGTTGGGCTAACAATATTTATTAGTTTTAATTGCTGAGAAAACAGCTGAACATACTTAAATAATGCTGTAGTAAATTAAATAGTATAGTATAGTTGAAATATCTTGGTTAAATATCCAATAGATTACGCTTTCAGTGGTCTCCATTTTTTAAAAGACAAAAATAAGAAACAAAATTCTCTGTTTGTAAAGAAAAAATCAAAATTCCCTGCATTTTCCCAGTTATTTTAGGTGATTTTCAAATTCCCAGTATTTTCCAGATTTTCCCTGTTCCCCCTGCAGACTGGCAGCCCTGAGAGGGTAAAAAAGGCTCCAGATAATTCTACAAAAAAAATTAAAACCTGTTTACTAAACCTTTGAATTTAGTAAATTAACTGACTATATAATTTTTTCAATATGAACAGTTTATAATACTGAAATGTGAACCTTTCTTCAACACAAAACATGATTTTTCCAGATTCATAAAAGAATACCTGATTTACACTAAAATTGGATAAACTAAACATACCAAAATTGTGAATGTATCACGTTCATCTATAAAATTACCTTTAATAATACAAACAAAGTGACCAAATGTCAATAAAACAAATGACAATATCTATATATATTAAAAAAGGAAAGTTATATTCAAAAAAAATATTAAAAAATAAAATAAAATATTATATACATTCTATCAATAATTTTATTTAAATCATAAACTTTTGAAACAAAAAAATTAAAAAAAACAACATATGTAAAACGTAACCTTTTTCGGAGATGCTGAACTTTTATTAGCTGAAACTGGTCCTTCTGACAAAAATGCAGTAGAGTCAGTAGTCATGGTTGAATTCAGTTGACAAAATTCATAGTCTTTTTCATTGCCACATGCCACATTTAATGAATTGCTAAATTTAAACCAATAATTATTTAAAATATTATCTACATACAATAAAATTAATTGAAAATCATTCAAAAAAAGAAAGAAATGAAAACAGAAAATAAACATAAATATGTACCTGTCACCACTTATATCCAATCCTGAATCTTGACCACCTGAAAAAATAATTGAGAGTATTAAGAAACTCATACATTTTAATTTTTGAAATACCTTTCCTAATCAGTGTTAAGACCACAGTAAACAGCCTAAAAATAAGACAAAATACTAACCTTCAGCTTTGTAAGTTGATTCAAGCTTTATAAATTGTGATAGGCGACCAACAGGTGACTCTCTTAGCAGCTGCAAAAAATTCAGTGAATAAAACAACAGTTTCATTTAAAGATAAAATATATTTCAGGTCTACAGAAAAATTAATCCTGAGATAGGGTCAGGTTATGTTATGCTTTTCGAAATAATTGAATCAATATTTTTATTATATCAGGAATTCTGATTGAAGTTTCTTTAAATACACCATATATAATATAATAATCAGGTAGATCAAATCATCAATCTTGTAGTTTTGGAATACACTGTAAAATTTTTCAAAATAGATAATACTATGTATAACACTTCATCTCTTAAGGTTAGAAGAAAAGAAATTAATAGTTGAGATGGATATGAATGAATCTTAATACAAATGAATGGAAATAAAATATGATATGGTAAACATAAAGGATATTATAAAACCATAATATTAGCCAGGCTCAATCGTTTTAGTTTCACATATTTTTAAAAAAATATTATATTAAAGACTGATCCACTAAATTCTCTCCTGTGTAACTAAACTGCATCCCAACTATCTGAGCAATAATATGTTCAAAAAGTAATAAATGTATGTCATGGTTAAAATACTTCACAAAAATGATTAAAACAGTGGTAAAGTTTGAATAATCTACTAAGTAATTTAAGGCATAATTCCATAATTTGCTACAAACAGCAGTTTCAGTCCCAAGTAGAAAATTGTTAGGTATTTATTTCATTTTGAGTATGTTTAGAAGTCTCGTACATTCTTCTGTATATTTTTTGAATAGCATTTAAATAAAAATTTTGCATATTACTCCCATTTATTACCCTATGTTTAAAAAGTAGCATTTCTTTTTTTTCTTCATTGGAAAAATTGAATTTTTCTCTATCTGCAAGCTTAAGAAAATATAAGATTTAAAGGTTTCATAATAGAGAGATGCTCATGGTTCATACACAAAAATAAAATCAAAATTCAGTGATTTTTTTGAAGAAAATATTCACATTTCAAGGATAACTATTGACAGCTTTTATTGAAATATATTTTAAGACTGAAATTGGCTAAACATGACTTGTATTACATAATTTTGGATTTACATCACAATAAGCTTTAAATCACATTTTTTGTGTCTTTGAAAAATCAATGTTTTCTTACACATCAAAAAATATTTTTCTGAAATAAAAAAAAATTAAGTAGTTAAGAGCTTTGTGACAGAATGTTTTCATAGGTATAAGACTTAAGTAGAAAAAGAAAAAAAAAGTTATGAAAGATAATTTTGTGAAAGTGGACTAACTATAAATAAAAACGAATATGGAATGATTTTGATGATGTCATTGTTTGGCTGCTAACTTTTATTTAACATTTTTGATAAATATAAAAAGAAAAAAAGACTAAAAAGAAATTTTTTTTTATCACATTGGGATTAGAAAAAAATTTAAGTGCTCAAATTTTTCTGTTTGACTTTATGTTGCACTTCAAAGCTTAGCAACCCCCATCATTTTTGCAAAGTTTAATGATTTACAGCATAACTCACGCTTACATTCATTTTTCAAGTATCTGGAAGAATTTAGATTCTTTAAAGTGGATTATGAAGCTTTATGATTGAAAACAAATTTGAAGATCTAAAATAGTTTTCTAAGATAAAAAAATAAAAAAAAAAAACACACACACACAAAAAAAACTATTTACAATCTTACAATGTGATATTTGTGATTATTATGGGCTTCTACATAAAAGGATTTTCATACGATGTTTATAGTTACATCAAAGAAGTAAAATAATCTTACTAAAAGGACATATCCAATGATTTTAAAAAATTTGAATGCTCTAATGGAGGAAAACTCAAAAATTAACTTAACAGCAGGGATGGATACTGAATTATCATTTATAAAATTAAAAAAAGGAAAGATAATATTTTGATTGATCTTTGTAATTTTTTCAGTTGTTTTTCAAATTTTATCAAGGACATATAACAATTTTAAGGACTTTGAATCCTTTAATCACTCAGCTAACTTTTTCCATTCACTTAACTAGATATAATTATGCTAATGTCAAGTAATTTCAGATGGGCTGCATTTTGCACAATTGAGATCTATTTATATGGAAAGAAGTTAACAAGGAAGAAAAGGGTACAAAATCTCTTCAATATACTTAGTTTGATAATAACTTATAAAATATGGCAGGAAGCTTTTGTTCCTTTTTGAAATGGAAACCCATATTTCTTTATTTTAGCTTTTTAATCAATTAAAATGCTCCCAATTTAAATGCTGGTATGAATGCTGATATCAAAAATCAATGCTGAATGCCAATTCCATGCTGATATCAAAAAAATTGATAATCAGGTCAAAAATTATTTGGGGTGTAATTCCATATTACACATTAACATAAAATTCAGAATTTTTAAACTAGAATACGTTGAAAAAAAAAGCATTTAAAATGTCATACTTATAAAATATATATTCTATTAATAAATATTAATGAAATATTGTTTTATAAAAGATATGACTTGTAAGACTGCGCAAATATGTTAAAGATTGATTTCAAATTATATATTGTACAGCAATACAGGAAAAAAAATGGCAGACACTGGTGAATTGTATAATTATTATTAACCAATTTACCTAACTGTACTTTAAAATACATAAAATTTAAATTTAACAAAACAATAGATGCATACAATGACAATGTAAAACATAAATCAACAATAAAACAACAAAAGTATTTTACCTTTGAGTTTGAAGCTTTCTGAAAAAAGTCAAATGCTGATGGCTCCTTGAAAACTATAAAAAAAAAACATAGTTATGTAATTTTCACTTTGCTTACCAACAATAGAAATTTCCTTTCTCTAAAGTGTAGAAAGTGTAGAGTTACATGTCAAAGCAACTGATATAGCTCCACACTGTTAAACATAATTTCTAGTGATGGTGATAGAGTATAAACCTTCTCATGATTAAATCTATATTAAAGTTAATGGATAATCATACTTATCAGAATTAGAAATACAGAGCTATTTGTTTAGTAGTTCTCTTAAAATAAAGAAAAAAATCAAAAATTGAAAAAGCCTGGTGTTTTTTTTTACATAGAGGACATGGGCTCAACACCGTGTTTGACAAAGGTATCACCACCAATTACTTTTGTACTATAAAAAATTTATCAACTTTGTGGTTAACAACTATTTAAGACATAAAACTTAGAAATATGAAGTTTGTCAATTCATCAAGGTTTTGAGAAATTTGAAGAAACCGCTTAAGAGGTCTGTAGAGAGACTACTAGGAACTTTTTAAGCAGATGTTTGGTACAATTAGATTATAAAAAAATACTGAAGTAGCATAATGATGTGAACTTTTCAGTGTAAGTTAAGAAATTAAACAGTTTACACAAAAGTTTTCCTTTACTTATTTAGAAAACTAAAAGATTTCTTCAAAAATTATTAAATTCAGCATAAATATTGAAGCTTCCTTTTTTTAAATGAACCAGGTTGGGCAAAAGAATACTGATTTAAATTCGCTAATACATACTTCAAGTTATAAAACTACTGTCAATACAGCAAAATTATTATAACCTTATGTCAACTGACATGTTATAAAGAGCAGAGAAACACAACTAAGACTCAAACTTTTCCAATCTCGCAATTTTACAACATTAAGTACAAATGTGAGTAAATTTTCTTTTTTTCAATAAAAAAGACTCAACTAAGCATAAATTGGTCTCCAAGCATAATAGCTTAACTTTTTTCAGGGTTAAATAAAAATTCAGTTTTATGGAAAAAAAGTCAAGTTTCAAAACACATTAAAAGTAATTTTATCATGGTAAAACTAATGTTGAAAAATTGAAAATAAATCATAAGAAAACTCACGTTCCGCAACAGATCTCAACTCCTCTTCAGAAAATTCAGCAACATCTGGTCCTGCTTCACTATGATTTTCTAATAATCCACTAGAATTTACAGTTTGCTTTAGCTTTTCAGATTTTGAAAAATTGTGTGTTTTCGTCGAGTCATGGAGAAGCTGGAATATTGATTCACAATAAACAATACATATAATAATATATTAAAGCAAATTACAAGATTCAAGATTATATTTCTTTATTAAGTTAATATTTCTTTCAAATATACTTATTTCATCATTTAAATTTCATCCCACTTAAAAAAGATAAGCCACTTTTATGAAATTACAGGACCAAATAAGATTACAACACCACCATATAAAAAATTATAAAAAAAAATTGCTGTAATATTAAAAGGTAATGGTAAAATTTTTTTTATGTAAGTCTCACACTTAGAACTGGGGTTTCAATATGATTATTATTAACTTACTCCTTTATGTATCAATGAGATTTTTAAGTCTCACTAATATTAATTTCACATAGCATTCAAATGGAACAAAATATCCCATCAAAGCATGTCGGTTCATATTATATGACTTTCTGTTTATCATTACTGGTTCACAAGACACTATTATTTGAAGTTGAGCATCAACTATGGAACTATTAAGTTTTTGATATTTTCTTTGAGGATGTACTTTTATGATTCTTCAATTTTATTTCTTAATTATCAGCTTACTATTTCAACCAATTGTGCACGAAAGTCTTTCAAATTGAATTATTTATTCATTAACATTTTTAACTACTGGGTGTACAAATAAGTTCCCACCGTTCGACACAAAATGGAAAATACCAGAAGGCTATGTAGAAATTGACTAATGTTAAACGTCTTATTGTAAGTTTGTTCATCTGGTAACAACATAACCTTAAAGTATTAGTGATTCCATATTAGCAAAAATAAAACAAAATATAAAATGTTTAAGCATAATTAAAATTTTATAATGTGGTTTATGTCCCAAAATTAAAAATTTTATGAAAAAAATTAGAAAATACTATTGAATATTAAATAAATATATATATGCATGCTTGTCAAAGTTTCACAAATTTTTGATAATTTGGGGTATAGATTTAGGAGATGTCTACACCTGCTTTTCCGGATTTTTTTTCTATCTCCAAATTACACGCTAGATGATAATAATATAATGTTGGTTAGAGAACACAGCCATTATGAAGAGGTAAATGGAACTATGGGAGAATCCTATGCATAAAATGACATAGATGAGATTGTATAGGAGGTAGGGAAATAACGTTTTGATAATGTTTATGATAGTTGTGTAATTGTGCAGATCAGGATATTGTTTTGCAGGTGGATAATTGACGTAGTGGGAGGAGGGATTTGATAGATTACGCATATGGAAGATGATTGGCGTAATAAATGTTTTATTGATGTTTCGTTTTTTTATGTAACATTTTTTATAGTAATTTAATCATTAAATTTTGATTTTAGGATCAAATTTTTTTGACATTAATTTTCTGTGGAAAGATAGTTTTGGTTTTTTGAAGTGATTTTCAGTCAACTTTGTGTGAGTTTGAATATAGATTTTTTTTTAAAATGTAGGTAAAATAGGTTTTTCTTTTTTAAAGAGATAGTTTTCTGTAGAATTTAATGCAGAAACTGAAATTTTATTATGGTTTGTAGCTTTTTTTAAAAAGTTTGTGTTTTTGATTTATAATGACCAATTGTTTATTGGTTTGATGAATAACGACTTCCTTAAACAGAAGAGTTTAAACCTTTGTGGATTGCTCGGCTGAAAATGTGTGCTTATCTGAAAAATTTGGGGAAAAAGATTATACTCTAGCAGCAAGATAATTTCTTTTTGTTTTTACATTTATAGTTTTGGAAATTTAACATTGTAATTTTTTTGTCAGCAGATCATTTAAAAATATGTTGCCTAGGGGTAACAGTTCATTATTGATCAGCAGTATTTTAAAAATTGATGTTTTTTTTAAGGTTAAGTGTTGGTGTTTTTAAGTGCCACAGCTCAATATACCCTGCATTGATATTTTTTAGGGCTAAATTTCATTCCCCGGCATACCCTACACTATAGTTTAAAATTGACAGCAATGCAAGTGAACTTTAAATTTAAAAGGATTGCAATATTCAATTCTGTTTTAATCCTCGGTGCAGATACATAATGCAGATGCTTAACAAATCTGTTCCAAGTTAAAATATAATTGCTTTCTTTTGAATTATTCAGGCTAAATTAACTTGCTAAAAGTGAAGTATAGACAATGATTTCCCCATTAAAAAACAACAGTCTCACCATTTTAAAATATTTATGTATACTATTGATTAACAGAAAACTTGTTTTTTCTTCTTTCTCTTTCATAGAAATAAGAACAGATTATTGAGTAATGTGAGAAGCTTTGAGAAATAATTTAGATATTTTTCTTCTTAAACACACATGACTGTTGTGTTGCGATAATAATCAAAATCACGCTTTTTAAAACAATTAAGTACTGATTAAATTAGCGTCAACATACAAATGAATGAAAAAGCTAATAATGAACAAAAATCTTTAATTTAACAAGGATTGTTTTACTGATATTATAATTCTATTCTGGTCAGGGGTGATTGTGACACAATGTGAAAAACCCTGAAATTTTTAGTGCAAAAAATCAATAACAAGATATCAATTTATATACAATTCAGACTTAATATTTTTTTAACTAAGATTTATAATTAAATTACTACCCAATAAAGAATAGCTCACTTTTATAGTAACTAATATAAGAAAAAAATTGTTCTTACAAGAATATTGGATTTTAAAATCGCATGAATGTAAATCGGGATATTGGGTTTGAAGAATTAGAAAATCTGAATCGTGCTGTTGGGTTTTAAAATTGTGTTATTACGAATCACGATGAATGATTTTTAGATCCTGTGAATACGAATAGCGACATTGTATTTTAAATTTGTGTGAATACAAATAGCAATATTGATTTCAAAAACATGTAAATACAAACAGTGATATTGGATTTTTAAAATCACCTGAATATAAATAGCGAGGTACAATATTTAAATTGGGTGTATATAATTCAAAATGAGTAACTTTCAAATCATGTTAATAAGAAAATCAATGTTTAATATGAAAATTGTGTGAGTATGAATAATGATACTAGTTGATTCCAGGGTAGTTTCAAATACAAAAAACAATAAAAATCCAACAAACCAAAATTGTGGAAGAGTCACTTGTATGAAAACATCTTGATAATGTGATTTAGTGAAGGTTTCAAAATTTAAATTTTAGAATTTAATTACTATGTTCAATTTTAGATTGTGGTTAAATTTTGTCAGATTATAAGTTCTGATTTGCGGAAGTCTGCGAAAAAATCACAAGCCCTGTTTCTAGTTTTTTGACCTGGAAAGATAGGAAAAATCTGGAAAACAATCACCCCTGTCTTCCATATATCTTGTAACTAAAAACCTTACTGTTCACCATTCATTAGTGTAATTAATTCATTTCTTACAGGATACATAATATTTAACTTAATATTTTTATTAAATTAATCTTTAATAAAATTACTGAAGTAAATTTTACTATTCCTATCTCTTAGCTCATATTATAGATGTGCCATTAGTATATTTCTCATACAGTAATTTTTTCCATATAGTAGAGCACTGATTATCCAGACAAATCGAGACCACAGCTGATCCGGAAAATGGAAAATTTGAATTATTGGACAACTTTAAAAACTGATATGAGAATGCTTTTAAGTAACTTATCTTCACATTTTTTTCAGGCTAAGGATTAGCAAAAGTAGTAGTGTCTATTATAACATATTACAAGTGGCATGTTTAAACGTTTAATTTTTTAAAAATTTTTAAGAAACCTGCAGAAAATCTCATTGAAGCTGGGTGAAAACAGCATGAGGTTCTTTTCCAAGTCACCAGGGACTAAAGAAGCCATTTCTTAACCCCTCTCAGATATTTTGAAAATAAAAATAACATTTTCGTGATTTTTTTAAGAAGGTGGGAAAATTCTTAGTCTTGAATGATCCAGATAATTGGACAATTAGGTAAATCAACGTTTGGATAATCAGCGCCCTATGGTAATTTTAAATAACTTAAAAAACTTTAAACATTATATAAAATTCGAAATCTATGAGTACATAAAGTACCGTACACTCTCGATTATCCGTGCGCGGATTATCCGGTTTGCGGATTATCCGTGCTTATTCCGGAGTCACACAAAAAGTATAAAGAGAAACATTTTCAAGATTAAAAAAATTTGATTCATGAAGTTATAACACTACCAAATTTTTGGAAGCAATATTCGTTATTGGATTGCAGTATATGGAATATCAGCAGCATGGTCAAAGGTAAAATCGTCTACGTTATCACGATCTTGGAGAAAGATCATACCGCTTGATGAACAATCCTCTTCAGATGTTCAAGAAAAATATGATAACAGTATTCTCGAACAAGCAAAAGAAATCTAAGGTTTCGAAATTCTTGATGAAGAAAATTTAGAAGATTGGTTTCAAAGTGATGCATGTGAGCCTGGCTTCCAGTATTTGACTGATGAAGACATCGTTATGTTGTTAAATCAAATAGTGATGATAGTAACTAAGGCAGAAGTTGTAGCAAATGAATGAAATACGATTCCTCATTCTGCTGCTCTGTTGAAACTTTATTATATTATATGGGAGGATTTGATTACGGTGACATTACTGCGGTTCGTAAAATATGTGCATCGATATATGGCAAAGACGCATTACACATATTTTAATAAGGAAAATTCCTAGTTTGATGTTATGCATGCAAATGTCAGTAATTTTAATATTTTTGTACTGATATTGAATTTTTCTTTAATAAAAGGAGTTTTCGGATTATCCGTGTTTTTCGATTGTCCGTGCGACCTGTCCCGGTGATTAACCCGGATAATCGGGAGTGTACTGTAATTCATTGTAACATCACCATAAATCATAATACATCATTACTCATAAGTCAAATGATATTGTCAGTAGAATATGATTAAAAATACTGAGTGTTTTAAAATTTGACCAAAAAATTAAAAAGGGTAATAAAATGCTTTAAAAGAATGAAAAACTATTGTAGAATATGGGGCTGTAAAGCATATTGATATCTTGAAAATGGCAAAAAACACAAGTCTGTGGACACACAGGAGAACATTCTAACGTAGATTGTTCACTTTAACAGACATCAAAAGCCCAATTAACATTTTTGAAAATGTCCAGAAATTGCCACTTCAAATGACTCTTGTAATAATTAGTCAAAACTTTCTGTAATTAACAAGTATTTAGCATGTTTTGAAGTTGTGTTCAGAAAAACAGAAATCTGCATAAATTTCTTATGAAATATGAATAAAAAACAAATGGTTTCTTGAATTTTTTAACAAAATATTCAATTTTTATTATTTGATTGTTTTAAATAAGTCCATTGAATTATTTCTTAGATGGTAAGTGGTAAATTAAGAAAAATGTGACAAAAGAAAACTTAATACTGAGCATATTATTTAAGGTTAACTTTCAGAAAATTCAAATATTTTCCAAGCGAAAATTGCAAAAAATGTATTTATCTTGAAACTTAGCAAGAGCTTAACATGATTATTTTTTTCTTTTCCTTCCCCCAGAAACAGCAGTTCAGTCTCCAAAATATATTATTTTAAAATACAAGTCAAAACAACACCAGGAATATTATTTATAGTATACAGAATACCTCTTTTCGAATATATACAGGGTATTCTATAAAGATTACCCTTAATGTGTATTTTTAGAATCAAAAAGGAAAACAAAAAGTATACCTATCAGAGACCTCTAAATTAATATTTAACAAAGAAATTTAAAAGAAAACAAATACTATAGAAGCCTGACAACTCACAGTACAGAAAGACACAATGCAATAAACAACAAGACAGACTTGATTATGGGAGGAAAGAGAGAAGATTTGAAAAGGGTTTATTAGAAACACTTTCAAGTTTCAACCTCTATAAAAATTGTTTTGATGTATGTTGATTACATCTGCCTTCTTGTTTTATAATAAGCCAGAATCTGTTAGCGGGTTTGTTTTTTTCCTCACTAAAATATTAGTTTGCAATCCCCTATGTCCATACTTTTTTTTCCATTTTTGATAAGGATTCTAAAATTGTTTATTGAGAGAGCCTTTACAAAACACTTGCATACAAAAAACCATTTTTTTAAAACTGACACAGATTGGGGTTTAAATTAATCTCTGAAACTAAATCTCCTTTGAAATCACAAAGGGAATACGAACCGAATTTGTGTGGAACGAAATAGATTGCAGGAGATAGGATTTATGGATAGGAGCAGTAGACTAATTTAACATTCAAGCGAATGTTGTTCCAAAGAAAACTGTTTTAAATTCCATTGTGAATTTCCCGAGAAGAGCAGCAGTGAGATCCTTGAATTTGCAGAGAAGGGGAGCATAATCTGAATTATCTGGCTTGAGTCAACCCTGAATCATCCGGCCCGAATTCATCAAAACATTGGATTACCAACATTGGGAGTCTCTTCAATCAAGGTAGGAATTAAGACGAGGCTCTTCTTAATCTTATTTGAAGCACTCTATTATCTACTGTATCAACTAACTTCTCAATTGAGATAAATAAAGCTAGAGAAAAACATGGACAAGTGGTTCAAATCTTATATTCTTAGTTAAAGTGAATTTAAAATTTTTGAAACATTAAAAAAAAAAAATACAAAAAATAGTAATATTGAGAAATAAACTTAAGTATACATGCAAAGAAAAGAAAAAGTGGTCAATTTATACAATACTTTAAATTTTATAAACAAATTTACAATAAATAATTAAATATTAATATGCAAGCATAAACAGTTGAGTAAGTACCTATTTCAAACAGAAAAATAATCTAATCATGCAGTGAAGAGTGCAGTGGTATAGAGTTCAACAACCAAATTACTATCAAAACATTTGTAAAACTACCTTTTGTAAAAAATAAATTTTAACTAGATATTGAATTTAAAATACATTTTAAATTCTTCAAACTACAGGTCATCAACACAAAAAATTTTTGAGGTTTTATTTGAGATGTAAACAAACTTTTATAGAAATTTTTTTTCAAACCTCAAATCTTCAACACAATATTAACTAATTTAGTACAAATCTTTGTCAATTAAAATATATCAGGATTATAGCTTACACAAATAGTGTAACTTGCAATAAATTTTTTTTGTGTAAGTTAAAAGTCTAGCTGTCTTTTCAAACAGATCTAAAAATGATTAAAAAATGTATTTATTAGTTAGCAAAGACAAGTAAGAACAAACAAAAATTAACATTTCATATATTTCTGCTCCTGTAAAAAGAAGCAAACTTTTTGCCTTCTCAACATGTAATTTTACCTAACTTTGCACGGACGTAAATGATATCACAACTAAAAACTTTGATTATATGACACTAATATTTTAAAAATCTTTAATCAATTTTACGCACAGTGTCAACTTAGAACAAAGGAACAAATTTTAATAATACTAATTTGATTATGCTTTAAACAAGTTCAGGGACTAAGAATAAATATGAAGAGAATTATAGTTTTTCGTATCGTTTTAGTCACTTAAGACAGAAATGCTTTTAAATATATAAAGGAAAATTAAATCAGTGTATTAAAAACTCTAATATGCTGCTAAATTTTATTTTACTCTAAATTTGCAAATACTATGTACGAAATAAATGCACATGAAATGATGACAAATGAAAATAATTATTAGCATTATAAAATAAGGCAACAAAATAAATTAACAATCTCAAATAAGAAAATAAAATAACATTACAGCACAAAAAAGCATATAAACAGCTGGCGCCTTAAAAATGATGAGGATTTTTATATAGGAATGTAGATTTTAAAAAATATCAAAACAGAAATAAGAGTAACTTACTTCTGCTTTACTGCATTCGGTAAATTCTGCTGATTGATGATCCTTACCAATATCATTTGGTTGATGAAAGTCATCAGATAGTAAGGGATTAGTAGAATTTACATTAAAATCATTATGACTCGCAGAACTATCCACCATGTTAACTTTGGAAACATTCATTAGGGTGGAAGACATGCTATTTGAATTTTGGTATGAGACAGTTTTTTGAACCGAAGAAATAGTTTCAACCTGATCAAAAGTTTTATATGCGTTATTTGAAATGTTTGAAGACAGTTCATTGAATTCTGAACACTTTGAGTTTGATATGATCGACACTGCATGGGAATTAGTAATGAGTATATTTTGGTTATCTTCTCGTTGTGATGAACAAGATATTAAATTAGAAGTATGTAGTGTATTTATGTTTTCATCAAGGCTAAACATTACTCCCAATTTTGATGAAACTTTATCTTCAGCCATCATTTACCAAACCTTTCTTTTACTAAAATTTTCATTTATCAAAACTTTTCATTTCTGGTGATCAACATGCAATGAATAATTTACAAAATGCCTTTTGTCCTTTTATCAAGGATGCTCACATAATAATACTTCAAAAATAAATACTTCAGTCAGCAGGCAAATCTGGACTTGACAAAGCTAAAATAAAATACATTTCATAAAAACCCAGAAAAAGCTTGTTAAGAAGCACGTAAGTTTATTTTAAGGCCAATGTAATAAGCAAGGTGCAAAAAAAGAAAAAAATGCATAACTTATAAGCAAAATATAAATAACTTGCACAATAACTCATTCAAAAATGAAAATATTAATTAAAATTTCTTAAAGTGAAAGTGTATTTTTATTTTTTATTAAAAATAGCAAAGCACAGAAAAACCTAACAGTGTGACACAAGCAATATGAATTTCAGTGAGCCTTTATGCTTACATAAAAACACATTTAAAACAAGCTATTAGCATGCAATATTTATTTTCTAGTTTTGTTACTGCAAAAAAAAAGAAAAAAAAACTTGAAAGGGAAATAAGTAATGAGTTATTTCTTTAAATTTATTTCAAATCAACATAAAAAGTAGTTTGCTTTGTCTGAAAAAGCAAGCATTCCATTTATGAAAGTTTCATATTTTAGCCATGTTGTTAGCACTCATATATATTGAATTAGGTAAAATTATTTTATCAAAATCCAAACGAATATGATGCGTGCAATATTTATTTCTATATTGCTATGGAAACATTAATAGTTATACCAACTTAAAAGATTTCCTATCATGTTCTATTCTAAACAAAGATAAATAAATTCAATAATTTTTATAAAACAATAAGAACATTTATAAATAATAAATAAAATCGTTAGAAATAAAATCATTAGAAATACAATGATGTAGTATCAAAGCCAAAACCTAAAAATTTGCCTCAATTTTATAGGAAATCTTTAAACAAGGGTTTTTATGTAACAGAACCATTTGAACCTCTTTCCTGGCTTTGAATAACAACAGAAGTAAATATTTACAAGGAAAATGAAGAAGTTAAGAGGCTATGAACCATTCCAATTGTCTACTATGGTCAGGTTATCATAAAAAAATTTTTTTGACTGCAATCTTACATTACATTATTTTAGAACACAAAATATTTCCTTTGTAAATTTTTTTAGCTAAATCCTTATTTTATATCACCTATTTTTTATGGCATGTTTAAAATTATCACATAGAGTGAAAAAATTTTCATACAGGAAGTCTAAAATGGTAATTTTTAAATTCAATGAATCTAAAATTGTCACTTTTGAGCAAATATTTTTATTAATTGAAAATGTTTTAAACAGCTTCATTTCTAAAAGATTGTTTAGCTTACATAAATAAACTATTAAATTTAAAAAGAAAAAATTTATTAATGGGCAATGAGTATCTCAATGCAAACAAATTGAACGTTTGAACAGTCAACATCATTTTAAAAGTTTGCTGACACTTTTTAAACTTACATTCAACTTTAAAATTAATATTTCTATCAAGCAATATGTTTATTTTATCATTTAAATTTCACCCCACTTAAAAAGATAAAGTCTTAAAAATGATTTATCAGAGATAATACAAATAACATGATTTATTTTTACAATAAATACTAAAAACACTCAACTATTTTTGATAAATTTATTTGCAACAAATAATAAAGGTTTGTAGTGATGGAGTCAGGGTTGGGTTTTTGACGTCAAAAAGTGGTTTTTGACATGACAAGGGTATAATACTGGTTTAAACCGTCAAAAACCCGTCAAAAATGTCAAAAACTGAAGTTTGCCAAGAAAATATATAAACTTCAAAACTACCAACAGTTGCCATGCATTATATTGAAATTTAATTATACTATAGGTAATCAGCAGGTTTTAAAATATTTTTTAATTAAAATTAAGGTAAAATAACAGATTTAAAATCTCAGAAATTTATATTCAAATGCATGTGCAGAAAAATTTTGCACAAAAATTGTTTAAATATTTATATTTAAAAAAAAAATTTTTTTTTTTTTTGATACTTAAGAAAATTAAAAGTTTATTACTATGCATTTTTGACATATAAGGAACATATAACTAATATTTATAAGGAACTTACAAGTTATGTTGTATAAATACAAACTTGATACAAGTGTATAAAAAAAATTTTTAATGTTATACCGAATATCTTTATTATCCAGTATGTTAATTTGAATTTAAAAGTAGTTATATTTATGAATAATGATAAATATAATTCATATTGTTTATTATATTTATTTATAATTATTACACTTATCATTTTAAAACAATTTTTATCTCTTAATTTTTTTTTCTCCACTTGTATTAAGAATACAAATAATGCATATCTTGAAAGCAAGAAGTAATTATTCAACAGCTGAATATTTAGATATTCAACAAAACTATATCGTATTCAGCAAAATGAAATTCACAAGTATTTGGATAAACTAAATTTTCAGCATAGTAAATGAATAGGCTGAATATACTGTAAATCGACACTAACTACTCTGTGTATTTAACAGAAAGCACTTAAATTTGTATTGTCTTATGTTAAAAAGATTATTAAGAAGATTTAAAAGAATATTAAAAAGATTTTTCTTTAAAAGATGTCTAATGTACAAAACTGCTAATGTTTATCTTTAAAAATGTCTAATTTTTAGTATAATCTATACTATACACTAAATTTGGTTATAAATAAATTTCTTAATAATATCACTGCAGATTTTCAATAACACATGAAAATGAATACATAATATTACAAAAGATGTGAGCTTTCAAAAGTACAAGATTTTGGTTACTATTCAAAATATAAGTGTTTCTTCAAAATTTTAAATTTATTTTTTCTAGAACATATTTAGAAACACTATCCTTTATAAAAAATATATAAATTTTATGTATTAATTAAATTTCACATATGAATATAGGTTTTTGACATTTTCGACATTTTTGACAGTGAGGTTTTTGACGTGACGGTTTAAACCATGGTTTAAACTGTCAAAAACTGTCACATGTCAAAAACCTGCCAACCCTGGATGGAGTAGCCCTTACATAGCATAGCAATTTTAAGTTATCATTGCCATTGGCAAATCTTGGCATAATATCAAAATGTTTTAGCATCTCGAAAGAAAAGAAAATTCTTATTTACTAAAACTGATCACTGATATAATATGATAAAATTAGAATAAATGCTGATATTAGTTTTATTTTATTATTATTATTTGAATGTACCTGTCACCTTTGCCTATGAAATCTTGCAATTATTTCACTTAATAATTTTGATTTGAATAAAAATCTTTAAATATAACTTTCTAAAACAACCTAAAAGATAAATATTTAATAAATAAAATATGCAAGGTATGAAAACTCTGTATACTTTATTTATGAAAATTTATTAAGCATACAAAATTTAGTTATCTTTGCTAATTTCACAAGTGGTCACACAAGATACTACTTAACTTCCCAAACACATTTGAAAAGAATGTTTATAAATCTTTGGTCATTATAGCGCATTATAGAGACAGAAATCCTCTCACACCATTTATTTCCAATTATAAATAATATAAAAACAAAAATATAATTGTGTTAAAAAAAATTTTAAACGTAAATTTTTTTCAGGATATTGAACACACACGAGAAATGTTCCTATCCATATCATTCCCATGTAAGTTTTTCTCATAATGAGTATAAATAAATATAGCACTTATTACAAAGCAGATAAATTGCTCTTTTGAAAATTCTACCTATAACTTGCTGGAAAAAAAAATTATTATTAACTCTTAAAAAAAAAAAAAGAAACAGATCTGATTTCATGTAATCGACCGAGTTTGAATTTTTTCAAACAACACCAATGTTCATGAAATATCATTATTTATACACTTCATTAAAACTTTAATGCCACATATGTATAAATAGACTATTCAAGATCCTAAAATTTTACCAAAATCAGGAGGGTCGACTTCTACACTGTTAAAAAATTAACGGTGAAATAATGATGCATTATAAACAATGATATAGATATTAATTCAGTATAGATTTACATCTTTCAAAAACTATTTTAAATGTGTTATATAGAATTACTTTTACATTATTCTCATCAAATTTTCTTTACAAGTATTCTTAGAAAAATAATGATTTAAATAAATTTAGTTAAAAAAAAAATTTAGAATAGTATAAAGTTCAGATAAGATAGTAAAAGTTCAGATTCCAAAGTATTTCAAAATATATAACACAATGAAAACTTATAAAACATACCATAAATCTATAAATTTTAAGATTCCAGAATATCATTTGTGTTGGATTCAATAACATTAGCAGAACAGTCATACAGATCACACTTTGCAATGGATTCTACATTATTCTTATTTGCTACGTTCCATAAAAAATAGTCTTTGCCCTTATTCATAGAATTTTAAAAGATTTTCGATAATCTCTTGAATCCACATTTTGTAATGTGTCTAGTATCATTTGGCACATGACATCTATAAGAGCAATTTAGAAGTTTTTGTAAGCATTTTTGATGTGAAATAATTTTAATTTGAGAAAATTCTATAGCTTAATTTATTTGTTTTTTAAATTTCAGAAATTTTTATGTATATATATAATTTTAATATGTGTGTATATATATATATATATACAGACCCAAAAAGGGGATCAACTTATACAACAGGACATACAGCAGAATACATATGGATATATACAGAAATTCCTTAATTTAATTTCAAACAAACATATGGCAACACAAAATATTCAGTAAAAAATAAATAAATAAATAAAAAGGAGGAAAAACAAAATTTCATAGATTTTTCATGAAGGAGAAAAAAATTGAAGTACAGTACAGAACCCGTTATCCGGAAATCAGAAAACCAAAAAACCAGAATGAAATTCAATAAATTTTCCCGCCATTTTTTTAAAAAAAATATTTTTTTCCTCATAAGATTTTAGGATTTTTCTTTCTTTTCTTAAAGACGTTCACCTTACCATCATCTTGGAAATAATCATTAGTGTATTACTTCATCGTTTTTTCTCCTTTTAAAGATTATTTCCAAATTTTTTTTCTTCTATTAGCTGGGTTTAACAATAAAAAAACGGCTTTTTGTAGTGATTCAGAAAACCGGAAAAATCAATTATCTGGATTAGCGATGGTCCCGATC